CTGTTGGAAATATTTACTTAATTACTTAATGAACTATATAAGCCATTTGATATAAAGTATATAGGGAGAAAATACATAGTAACAGCATCTAACAGTAGCTTGAGGAGAAAATTGCCTTCCCACTTCTCTTCCATCAAGTTCTGCCTGCAATCCTGTTTGCATACAATATTCTATTTTAAACCACTACAAAGTCTCTGGGCAAGAACATTAAATAGTCCCCTACTGGCAAAGCAGGTTCATTTCAGAAACAGGTGGAGAAATTCCCTAGCATAATTTGTGAGGTGATTATAGAGGCTTACGAATAAAAAGTGCTAACAATGTATAGAAACCATTATAAGGCTGAAAGATATATAGGACAGCCCAGACAAGCTTTATATCACATGATAAAAATAGTAAGATCATAGATCAAATCGAAGAATCAGGCTGCATACATCAGGTACCAATTTATAGTCACCAACAACAGAATAAGGTGCTTCCAACTAATTTTTCTTTATAAAGAGTCATGAGAAAAGAAAACGTATCTCAGACTTGTCTGCTTTGGTATCTGATGGATTATACAAGCTAAAGCTTAAGCACTTTTTAAATAACTTTGCAACACTCATTTCTCAACTACATTTCTTCCTTTATTGGAAGAGAAAAAAATATAAAGAAATAAACACATATACTTTTCCTTTCATTTTCTGGCTGTTATCGTCTCATAATTTACTTCTCTAACTGCACTGATCTCAACAGTAGGTCTAAAATAAAGGCATCTTAAACAGAAGACTCTGTGAATCCAGAAACGTCTGCAGTCAGAAAGCTCCATTAATCAGCTGAACAAAGGCAGTTAAAAGATCAGTGATGCGGATACATACACCTACTGCAAATGCATCAAAATGAGGCAACAGGAGATTTCATGGAAATGAAGAGAAAGCCAATGACAATGTTGCGTAACTGCACTAGAATCATAACATCCCCCAAAATTAATTTCATCACGCAGGATGTAGAAGGTATTTTTTTTCAGAGTAAAGAACTAACAGCTGTCCAAAAGCTTAATTTTGCTCTCTTCTGTCTCCTTAAGAAGAATGAAAGCCACAGAACAGCATATCCATCTAAATAAACCTAAGTCACTTAGTAGCAATTTTATTCTGCACCAGAAAGAAACATACTGGAAAATATGCTAGTTACTAATGAAATTTACACTGAGACAGCCTCAGTTGTCTCTGGTTGCTCTGTTAATAGGATTATGCTGCAGAAGAATTTTCCTGCCTTTCTAACACATATGAACAATGAATTATTTGTTTGCATTAAAAAAAAAATTCTTAAATTTCTTATCACAGAAAGGAATCATCCTTTACAAGTTCAAAGAGCGTTTATAGGGGTTGAAATATTTTTAGTTTTCAGTCTCAGACATGTTTCTTTGAATCATTCCTACCTGCTTCCTTTGCTAAATCTAGTGAATTGAGACACAGATGAAGGAATCAATAGTCATGTTGTTTATCGTGAAGCTCCTATTAGCTTCAGTATTTTTACATAAAATTGAGTACTGCTGCACTGAAAAAAGCAGCTTTGCCTGCTACTGCAATTCTGCAACACAGACAAATCTCATCTCAATGAGACTTTTTTTCCAAGGTATAGTTGGAGGGACTCAGTTGAACTCAAATCTGCAACAGAAAATTCTCAAATTTATCAAGAAAGGCCTAGTTTTGCTGTATGTTTTCCCCAATGGCACTAAAGCACTGAAAGCACAGCAACTCTTTGTTAAAACTGAGTATCTGATTGAATCAATCCACATGCAGTACAACTGCACAGATCTATATTACATATACATCACAATCTATTCACAGATACACCAAGAAGCACATTAAGAGACAAAAATTAAATCATAATTTTGCTAAATCATAATTTTAGCTAAATCATAATTTTGATATGTCCAGATCTGGTTCCTTCTCTGTCATTTATGTATGTGCCCACAGGAAAGTCTTGAACTACAAAGATTGATATGGCTGCTGATGACTTTGCTACATTTCAAGCAGTCTGAACAGCTACATCTCACATACTCCATTGTTTCAAGTAGGAACAGTTTAGTAATTCCACCTGCTTCCTTTCCCTCTTTCAACGCATCTGTTTTGTTACTACTGTGGATGGGATGAGAGGGAGGTTGAACTGACAGAGGAAGGTGTAATGAGCCCAAATCTAATCCTCACTGGCAACTAGAATGGAGTCAAACAGGATGGAAGCACCCCAGATAAAGTACCCAACACCATGTAGTATGCTGTGCTGTTTCTCCCAGGAAGACAGATACTCCTCTTAGTAGGCAGCTAGTGCACTATGCTCATCCCCTTCTCAGTTAAGAATGCACAGAACTACAGCAGCTTCTCAGCTATTTGTGTGCTTGTTTTTTAAACTATCTGAACTTTTTTGCAATATCCTGCCCTACACAGGCAAACATCTAATCTATACTGACATGTAACTATTTTTTGTATGCACTTTTTAGAATTGTAAAGCTGTTTCTATAATTTGAAAGAGAACTGTTACACTAAATTTTTGTGTAGAAACGAGCTTCCTTTTCTACTCATCTAGGTATCGTGCATGCCTCTGACCTCCTTGGCAGAGGAGTACATGCCAACATAACTTACATAAAGTTTTAAAATAATAGAAATCAAGAAATTAGTTATGCAATGCATACACACAAAGGAGGATAAAGGCAACATGAACAACTCCCTAAATGTTGTGATAGTTTAGCTTCATATTTATTTTTTTTAATCAGAAAGTATGGTACTCAAAAGAAAAGTTAGATTTCAAGTCTCCTTTCAGTCTAGACATTTTTTTCTTAACAAAAGGAGTTGCAGTGTCCAAAAGAGTGATATAATGTCCTAAAACACACATACAGATAAAAGCCATATCACTACAAAAAATATTACTAATATCGTAGTGTAAAAAGAATTCCTGTTACTTAAATTTCATGCTGGGCACATTTCAAGTCAGTTTCCTATGATCAGACTATTTGATTTACTCAACAAAAATTAGAAGTTTGTTTGGTTTTTTTAAGCTGCTAAACAAACCAAATAATTAATCAGGAGTAATGTATGAGACAAGGAGAATACCTTCCCTCATCCCCAAAATCATAGAATCACAGAATCATTAAGGTTGGAAGGGACTTTAAAGATCATCAAGTTCCAACCTCCCTGCCATAAGCAGGGAACTCTACCACCAGATCAGGTTGTACAAAACCTCATCCAACCTGGCCTTAAAAACCTCCAGGGATGGGGCATCAACCACCTCCCTGAGCTACCCATTCCAGTTCCTCACCACCCTTATAGAGAAGAATTTCTTCCTAATGTTTCACCTTATCTCCCCTCTCTCAGTTTAAAATCATTACCTCTTGTCCTATCACTATCTTATCTTATGAAAGCCCCTTCCCAGCTTTCCTGTAGGCCCCTTCAGGTCCTGGAAGGCTGCTATAAGGTCTCCCTGAAGCCTTCTCTTCTCCAGGCTTAACAGTCCCAACTCACTCAGCCTGTCTTCATAGCAGAGGTGCTCCAGGCCTCTGATCATCTTGGTGGCCCTTCTCTCGACCCTCTCCAACAGGTCCATATCTTTCTTGTGCTGAGAGCACCAGGACTATACACAGTACTCCAGGTGTGGCCTCACCAGAGCAGGGTAGAGGGGCAGAATCACCTCTCTGGCCCTGCTGGCCACACTTCTTTTGGTGCAAGCCCAGGATGCAGTCGCCCTCGGGGCTCCAGCACACACTGGTGGCTCATATCAAGCTTCTCATCCACTACCACCTCCAAGTCCTTGTCCTCAGGACTGCTCTCCAGCCATTCTCCCCTCCAGCCTGTATTTGTGCCTGGGGTTATGCTGACCCAGGTGCAGGACCCTGCACTTGGCCTTGTTGAACTTCATGAGGTTGGCACTGGCCCACCCCTCCAGCCTCTCAAGGTCCCTCTGGATAGCATCCCTTCCTTCTTGGGTGTCAGCCACACCACACAGCTTCGTATCATCAGCAAACTTGCTGAGGATACAGTCAACCCCACTGTCCATGTTTCCAACAAAGATGTTAAACAGCACTGGTCCCAATACTGACCCCTGGGGAACATGACTCATCACCTGCCTCCATTTGGACATTGAGGCACTGACCACAACTCTCTGGGTGCAGCCATCCAGCCAATTTCTTATCTACCGAGTGGACCATCTGTCAAATCCAGGTCTTGTCAGTTTGGAGACCAGGATGTCATGTGGGACAGTGTGAAAATTAAGCAATACACTTCATTGAAGTAAGCAAGATGCCTTCATTCAGTCCTGAGTAAATTCTGGTCTGCCCCACCTTCATAACCAAACCATACCCCAAATTATGTTTTCAAAGCTTAAAAGATGAGCAAGAGAAAAAGAGAAAAAGTCATCCAAACAAGTAATGCAACGAAAACAAGTACAGAAAAGAGCATTAAAAATAATATTGATACTTGTGATTGCAGTATCAAAATTGCATCCGAATTTGGCAATTTTATATAGAAGGAATTTGAACACAAACAAGCTTACTTGCATGTTTGTCTGCCAACACAATAAGTGTACTTGATATGTCTCTTCTTCTGTAGAAACACACCACCTTTGCTTCCACGTTTCCATTAGCAGTCTGAAACACATTAAAATAGAAAAAAATTAGGGTAAATCAGTAACTGCACAGGATGCACCAAACCAGAAAACGTAAAATAATTTGGAATTTTGCACAAGAGTGACTACATAGCCTCACCTGTTGGCACCCTTCAGCTGCACACACATCTGTTACCACAAACTCCAGCAGGAAACATTCCAATATAGGGAAACAGTTTGGCCCTTCCCTCTTAACTGCTTCTGAGGTATGATAATTTTCAGCAGTTACAGATGTTTCAAGGGGTGAGAAAAACACACTTACTTGCAGTTACAACCCAGTAACAAGCCACTTTGCTACTTCTCAGGTGATGCCTACATTGATTAAAATTTAAAAGCATGTTTAATATCCCAATAAAAATAGCTGTGAAATATAACACAATTCAGGTTTAGCCTGTTCTCCAAACTCTGAAAGGCAGAAGGAAAGCAAGAAAGAACTCAGCCATTATTACTTTCACAAAAGAAATCACATAAGGTTTTCCTTCTCCAGCAGCACTGGTGAGCTAAACAACTACCAACACAAAAATTTCATTTGAAAAGGAGAACCAAGGAAGCTCCACCAGGCAAGAAACTGTACACCAGTGACAACATGCAAAAAAGTCTGAATTTTTCTAAGGTTTGGGATTTTTTTTTTTCCTTAAAACTCTTAAAATTAGGTAGGTGATGAATCTCTCACAAGATAGTATTTGCCAAATTGTGAAACAGACTTTATACAAACTCTAGGGGAAAACCTACTAGTTTGTAACAGCTCAAATTAACTTCCAGTCTCTAAAATAAATCAACAAATAATGAAAATGTAACTTAAAAGCTACAAATGTAACTTAAAAGATACAGATTCCTCTCGGGGAAGTCTCCAAAAAAAGGCAGCAAACCAGCAATCTGCTCAAAAAGAAACAAAATAAAAACTGAAATACGTGCTTGTTGTTATGGTGCAAATGGAGGAAAAGTTTAATCTTTAATAATACCAGTTTTCCTAACACAAAGAAAAAAAAATGTAAGACAATACATACATGCACAAATATTTCCCACTGCAGCCCACCAGATTTTGGTACACAGCCTGCAGAATTGCTGTTCTTTTCTGTTAAATAATTCAGAACTTTTACATTTTGAGGAAGTAAAATACAAAGCTAGATGCCATCTTGTTAAAATACAGGCAGCTACAATAATAGTTATCTATTAATCTAATTGCCCAGGCTTCATCTACACTCAGTGCAGGAAAAAAATAGGCAACACAAGATAGGCTTAATTTCAACTTGAAAAATCAATTTCAAAGAGTAGGTCAGAGAAATTACAGCTCAAGCAAGAGCTGCACTAAGATGAGAGATCCAGGTTGAATGAAGAGGGGAAATTCCCCCCGCCCCCCCCTTTCCTATACATTTTTCAACAAATCTTCACCCTGTAACTAATGGAATACAGTTATTGATACCTCCTGGCTATGGATCCACTGGGAACACTTTAGGAACTCTATTATTTCCTTACCAGAAGAGAAACTAAGTATTTCTGCAAAAGGCATCTATTAAAAAGAAGGGAGTACAAGGGTGTCCTAAGTCTTCAGATTCTTTGTGATTATATTGATAAACGTTCACTTCAAGTAACTGTTTTAGAAATATATGTTTTTTTCACCGTTGTTGTTTGAAGAATAAGATCTGGTTTTGGTCAGTTAATTTAAACTCAATCCCACACCAGCGATATTAAGGCACTTGTGTATGGGCTGCAGCAGTCACACTGGTATAAAACCCAAAAAAGTGGCACATTTAGGACACATCTAACAGTCAGAACAGTCTTCTCTCCTCAACAAGAAAAAATTTTAGCATTGAGGACTTCCCATTGAGCTGGCTTCCCACATAGAAGTTTCCCAACGACCCAACGAAAAGGAAATTTGGCAGGATGAAATACTACACTGGACCAAAGGATAACCAGAAAAGTCAAAGTCTGAAGAAGCAGATAATGGCTCCAAACCTTCCTGTTGAGCAAGACTCTCCCCAAAAAGATCAAATTACAAAGCTCTCCATCCTCTAGGCAAACTGTTATTTTATCTTCGTATCACATGATCCTGGCACAGAACTGAAGAATCACAGAAACCTCCCTCTCTACAGGTGGGCACAATCACCTTGAGAATGACCTACTCTTGACAAGCTCAGTCCTTTCATACCAAAGGAGAACAATCTAGCAAATCTCAAAGCATTCCAGAAAGTTATCAGAACAGAAGTATTTTTAAGCTTCTAATTACCAGAGAACTGCTAAAGAATTGTTTTGATTTTAATCAAATCAAACAGATCATAAATTCAATTAACATCAAAGACTAGATGGAAAAAACTGTTTACCTTATTGAGCTCTTCTATCCTTCGTATCAAATATGGGTTACTTGAAGAATTTTCGAAGTAGACATAATCTGACAAAAAGAAAAAAGAAGACTTTAAAATATGAACTGTTTAAAAAAAAAAAAAAGTCAAACCCTCACATGTGTACCTGTTAAAGACACATCAAATGAAATCCTTGGCATAAACAATATTTCAAATGTTCCTGCTAAATCCAGGATTTTTAGTGAGGAAATAAAAAATTCTTGCCAGTCTAAGGAACATCTATAGGCAACGTGAAGGCCATAAACTCACTTTCGAAGAAAAAAATAAAAATGGAGCTCTACTGTCAGCCTGGAAAGCAAAGCATATGATCTTCCTTCTCCCTCCGATCAGATTATTTCCACTTTGATCACACTGTTTTCTTTACTTGCTTCCTCTTCCTTCATATGAAAATCCAGCCACTTCTCACCAGCTATATGCTCTTCCAGCTCAACTTCAAAGTATTGCCCATTTATTTATAATACAAATAGTTTCAAACTTTCTCTTTTCCTCAACTTCCTGGTCTTTCACATCTATATTATATGCATATAGTAAGCCAAACAGCTCAGTAATGCTCCTATTTCCAAGCAGAATCCACAACTTAAATTACAGGAAGAAAATTAGTTCTTTACCCAAGGTAGCTCCTTCAAATGAATTAGAGAAGCATCAAAAAGTGTCATAAGAACAATTCGGTATTACTGAGCTCCAAGCCTTAACACTCCTTTAAACAAGTAAGGAAACAGAAGCCCAGGAGTCTTGAATGGACTCGACCTTTAACTCCCAACACTCCAGGAGCCAAACCCTAAGCCTTAAGTGAGACAAAAAGAGGCACGAATTCAACCTCCCCACACACACTCCCTGGGGCTGATCTTGCTTGATTCCTTCCAAGGCTATCAACTAAATTTAAGACGATTTCCCCCCAGATTTCCCAAGCCTATTTGTGTCTGGACTAAAACACTCACAGCCTCTGGGCACGTCTCAGGTAATCTGCAACAAGCATGTTAGCATGTGGCTCCCCTGCTGTCCTCTTGCAAACAGGACAACTACTGAAACTGTTAACCTCAATCTCCTTTAAATGCTTGTTAAAAGGGCAGTCCTAGAGGAAGGAAGACACCTCAAGGGCCTCTGCTCCTGAAAAGCCACACCTTTAAGGTTAACGATTCCCCTCTTATCTCCAGGGTGGCCAGGGAAACACCAGAGCATTCATCCATTACATCCTGCAGCTTTACCGTGTGACAAATGTTCCAGATCCAGACACGGATATCTTCAGCCTGCTTACAAACTCACGTTATCTGTAGGTCTCCCTGCATCCAACAGACCAAGCTACTTGCTGTGTTGAGACACAGGAGCAGTGACCGCTGAGCAAATGACCCAGCCTGCACTCCCTGCAAGCATCTCAGGTGCCCTCATGTCTCTTCAACAGGGCTGAACTGCCTCAGAAGAACAGTCACAGATAAAGGATACCAAGGGTTACAATCCCAAAAGCAGAAACTGTAAAAAAAAAAAAAAGTTTCCAAGCTCTTGTCTTTAAAAAAAAAGTATCATAAGCCATGAGTTGCAAAACACTGTGACAATGAAGTTTCCACACGGTCTTGGCTGAAGTGAGGAGTCATGAGGTTGCAATGCCAATACTGAAACAATGCACACCCCACCTTGGGTTACCTGTATACATGGTGTAACCAGGGGTAATAGGAAATAAATACATCTATTTTCTTGTCTTTTTGTGTATTCTGAACATCAACTGCCTTCACAGACATTAACATGTATCTGAGCAACTCCAATACTTTGTTCCTGACTGCAAGAGCTGGTTCCTCTTAAATGTAACTTCTCTATAGGCTTTAGACTGGAGAATGATCTCATCTAAGGAATTCAGATTGGACATCTGGTTTATAGAAAAACAGAAGTTCTCAAAAATGGTTAAACACCCAAGCTACTAAACCATACATTTCTGTTCCCAAGTACCTGCTCTGTGCAGCACACCAAGTGGGAAATATGCTCAACATTACTATGACCAACTCTATCAGAAGTCACAAAACCAAACAGGTATTTGGCAGCTTCAGCAATAACAACTGCTGACTGAAATAACAATGACAGGCATTAAGCAATCTGCAGGTCAGCAGAGTAAAAAGAAATATTTTCTCCCATGGCAGAACCACAAATACCCTACAAGGGCACTGTAGTGGAGGACATGGGAGTTTTAAGGTGCCTCCAAGCTCACTGACATGCATTAAGAGTGAAACTGGCCACTTGTCACCCCAAGGCTCCATTACCTGAAGAAAGGATGAGTCCTTATCCTCTTCCCCTCTTATTACTCCCAAGGTAACCTGCCTAGCCCTCACTTCAGGTACTTCAACTGAGGCCATTGCAGAAAAATTATAGTTGTGAACACCGCGACTGAAAATGATAAATTAAAACTAAAGGAAATGTCAATCTTCAACTTGAAAATGTAACTTTGTATTTAATTGCACAAATCTTCTTAGTTAACATAATTTTTATAACTATTTTGTGTGCGCACATATGTGCATATAGTCTCACAGACGTGTTTTCTACCTCAAGTGAACTTTAATTCAATTTTCCATGCAACTACATTTTATTGGTTGTAAAATCTGGCATGCATTTAAAGACAGTTTATCACAGATGAATGGTTTACCAAAGAATAGCTTATGGTGCTTTTCTACAGTTTGGAATAATAAAACCCCCAAAACATTGTTTTGCTCAGCAATAGGAACACCTCCAAACCCACACTCTGATCAGCAGCTGCAAATGAATCTCAGACAGAAAAGCCAACTGCACACTGCTGGCAGAAAGGCAGCACTGAAGCTGTCCCACAGGAGTCTCCAAGAGCTGACACATGACACAGTATAGAGATGCATACTTAGACTAGTGCTTAATGACTTCATCGTGTCACAAATGCATAGGCCACAACATCTCATCCATGTTTTAGACTTATCCCACAACTATGTTAGGCATTTCACCAGTAGCTATGCAACTAATGAAGACCTATTTCCCATTACTCAAATTACCTGGAAAAAGGTTTCTTCTTCTCTGCAAGTAATGCAGAGCACACTGCAAATCACACAAAAGAGAATGTGAGCAGATCAGAGGAGTGTACTTTGCATTTTTCACAGAGATTTTAAATACTTTAACTAAAATTAAAATGCTATCCTGCACAGAGAAAGGCTCAAGTTACTCAGTGTTTCAATGGGAATTTTAAGTTCAACAAACTATTCTCCAAACTGATGCTTTAGCAGGTGACAGCGCTCCTCTGATATTGTTCCATAAGCAACAAAACCAGTGAGGGCTGGTTTCCTACACACCGAGTTTAAACAGCACCATGCCCCACTGACCCTAACACTCCAAAACACCTTCTTTCTCCTTCATCATCACTTCCACTTCACCTCCAGCTTCCTACCATACCATGGGAAGTACATCCTTCTCATATTGCCTGCCAAACTAATGCTGTTCCCACTTTGCTTTCAGGACAGTAGCTACAACTGCACAGAACAAACACACTGGTTAAGAGAAACCCTCTCCAGACTCCTGACAATACGGTTGTCAACGGGAGACATGGTTGTCAATGGGAGACATCCTGTATGTGCACAATTGCGAGAGCCTTTGTGCCCTGGGCTGAAAGAGGATGGGGAAGGAGACAAAATCAACTTGCCTCTAAACAGGAAGATACACATCTCAGCTCCTACCACAGAACAGGAAGGAAAGAGTATACGAAAACAAAAAATAAGGTCTAGGGACTGAAAAGTAAAGCCTGATACCAGGCAAAACAGGTCAGACCCTCCAAACACACTACACTATCTTTGTAAAGCAATGGCTGAGGAGTGTGGCAGTACCACAAGACAGCATGAGCCATCACAAATACCACCTCCTGACTCAAACAGAAGATGTATTTCTTCCTCTTGCCTCTACTGTTATAGAACAAAAGTTCCCACATACATAAACCTACCGCAAAAGCTTTTATATCCCACAACATTTTTTTCTGCAGTTGAGAATATGCACAGCTTACTAGAGAGCAATGCTGTATGACAGGTACTAAATTCCTTGAACTCACAGACACAAGTACACTTGCAGCAGTACAGCACCTAAAACTAGAATGATAGCCTACAGACCACTGAAGGTGGAAAGTTTCTACAAAGGCTGTAAATTAATTGCTCTTAACCAGCAATAAACAGGCTTCTTTTTGCTCTCATATGCTTTTTAAGACACTTGCAAAACAGCTTCCCTCTCTGCCCTCTTAATGTTAGCTGTTAAATATACATCAGTCCATAGAAAAGAAAATCAGAAGGGGGTACCACAAAAGAAAGAACATACACTGTCTAGAGGTCATATATTTGTAAGATCAGACATGTCTGAGCTACCTAATAATCTTATAGGCTTTTAGGTGATCAAGTTGCAAAAATGCCCAAAAGTATTTTTATCCTTCCCAACCTACATCTGCCTTTCAAGCTACAAGTGCTTTCTGAGGACTGACCTCACTGAACACTCCTTGCCTTTACCTCCAGGACGTCCCACACATGGTGCCATGGCAGCCTGCACTCAGGACACGAGGGAGGCTGAAGCCTTCCTCTTCTCACACTCTCTGCCACTGTTCGGTGCAATGTGCATGACCAGACATGCAATAAAATACTGCACAGTTGCAAATACTTCCCTGGCCCAATCCACAAAGCTGCTGCCCTGAATAAAAGATGAGCATCAAGAGAGAGCATAAACTTATGATGACCTGCTTACTTTATGAGTTTTTTTATGGGTAATCCATGCCTCCTCCTATTCTCGATTTCCAGTTCAGCTTTCACAGAATAGTAGGTTGGAAGGGACCTCAAGGATTAACTTTGGGCCAGTTTCTTTCAGTAAGCTCCAGTTTTTAAATCATTTGGCAGCCTGGTCTTCAAGCTGTCAATCACTACATTTTAGATAATGTGATCACTCCTGGTCTACATTCTCATGAAAGAGCAGGCTGGAGAGGTTAACACTGCTGTCAGCCTAAAAGTCAAGCAATCTCACCTGGCAGAGTCCAGGCTCCATTGCCTTCTGGCTGCTCAAAAAAACCCCATCACTCACTGAAGCTGTCACCTGATTAAATGTTTAGTTACAGAACAGATACAGAGTTTCAACAAAAAGCCTTACAATATTCTCATTACAGCACAAGCCAAACTGAAAGTTGTTTCTGTTGCTAAAAGAATTATGAAGTCCAATACCTCTAGCAGTATACATGAACCAGATATTTAAAATCAATGTATTTCATGCATCAAAGGTACTAAAGATACACTGCTAGACCAAGTTCAATTCATATTTACTGGACAGCAGTGTTTGTGGCTACTGCAGGCACAGAACATAATGCTGCCTTATGCTCAGCTTCACACACCACGGGCAACATCACTACTACTGCTCAACTTCTCAAAAAAGGAGTTGAAATGGTTCACCAACCCAAGCACACAAGCATCTGAAATACCTATACCTATTTAGCGAGAGACATGGCAAAAGTAAGCACCATCTCCTGCAGCAATCTGAACTCCATACACTTAATAGCAAACCATCACTAAATGTAGTACAGATAGCTTGAGGTACCCCAGTTAAATCAAGCTAGCTTTGCTCTTCTGAGCCAAGAGACCAAGCTAAAAGGCTCATGAGGACAGAGATCAGAACAAATGAGCCCTGACTGAAATCTTTAACTGAGATACACATCTCCAGAAGGACAATGTTTGTGAGAAGAATCCACTGCTCACACCAAGTGCTCCTGAGATTAGCTGCCTGGTCTTAATAAAAAGGTCAAGCCACAACAAAACAGCAAAAGCCTGGTTTTCACCAACGGATCAAGATTAACACACCACTGCACCACTTCCTTAATCCCAAAGCCTGCAGTAAACTTCCAAGATAAAAATGTACAATGACAGCATGAACATCCATCCAGAACAGCAACTACCCCTTCACTAACCACATGGTGAAAACAGTTTTGAAGTCAGGTAAAAACAGACCAGGCTTCCTTCAGCAAGGAAGGCTGCCATTCTAGAGAGCTACCAGTACCAGGACCCAGCAGGCTCTGGCAGTCAGTCTCATGTTTTAGACGACCATCAGGTCTACTGTCATAGCAAGCTCTGTTCAATGAGGGTGGGATGGCTCCATGCACAAGCAAAGTGATCCACAGCCTAATTCTCATTATGTACTTGCAGCCTCTCAGGACTAGGTTCATAGTCTTCACTTCTCCAGCATGACTCCTTTGCTAGCTCCCATAGCTTTCCATGTTCAGTGGACATTGAGAATTGGCCTACACATAGAGCTATATGAGCACACTCCTTCCAAAAGTTCTTCTAATTAAGACTACTTAATTACAGGCTGAAATTATACATATAAAAAAAGCTTAATTTACAATATACTGTGCTGTAATTATGTAAAATGCTTGTTTCTCCTGTGAGACCAGCACTTAAAATGGAAAGTTGCTTTTACCCTCCTGGAGGGCATACAGAGAGTGTACTATGGGTGCCTGTACAACCCTCAGCCTATAAGGATGCACTGGGAAGACAACACCCTAGATATTAAAAAAAAAAAAATACATCACCATAACATCCATGTGTCAAGCACTAAGTGGTGAACAAGCATACAGCCTCTCCAGATTCTATGAGCTTGTATAACATACTGTAAAACCTCTAAAAATTAACTTATATATGTATATATACAAGGATATGCAGTATGTTCAGCTCAACTTCCCCTTTCCACCCTTTCTCCTAGAAAAATGACTTGAAATAACCCTGGAGCTATAAAAAGTGAAGACTCTGGATACAGGCAAGGAAAGGACAACTGAGCTTCATTTAATAAACTGAAGTCTCTTTAACAATCCAATTCCAAACATGCATCTACACACATACATATGCAGAAGTGCCACTCAAGATTGCTTTGTACTAGATGAAGTTCAGCCTCGCGTATTCAAAATGTATGGCAGAGGTCTGTGTTCTCGGTTTCATACCAGTTTCTGCTCTTATTTGCAATAAGAAAACACAGAAGATGCTATTCCAGCCCTTAACAGTGCAAAAGAAAAAAGTGGCAAATTCATAAATATACAAGTGAAAAACCTATGCATTCTTTGACAAGTTGCCATGAAGCACACACCTGTATAAAAATGGGTAGAAGCTGATCATCAGTGCAAATAACACCTTACTTTACCATACTTTAATATCATGCTTTAACTCAGTTAGCATGCCTTTAAGAAAGGGGTAGGTGATTTTCTTGAATTTGTTCATTTAATTTGTTAATTTTTTCTAATGACTACACTCATTTCTAAAGATGGGTTG